TCCCGAGCTGGCCCGCGGGAGTGGCGCGCTGCCCGGGCCCGACCCCTGCCCCGGGTGTCGCTGCACCGGCCTGGTGGGCGTGCTGCCGCGGAGCTCTGCGTGGCTTCCGGCATGGAGTTTTGCCCGAAGCGGCGAGCGAAAAAATAAGGGAACTCTGCGTGGGTTGCGTTCGGTCTTCAGTCCTCGTTAAAAAATCTGCACGAATTTCACCTCGAAATCAGGAACGAAACTCTCCAGGACACTCCAGGCCCATCCTATCGTTTTCCGAACGAAAGCCGCTCTGCGATGTTGGCGCCATGACCCTTCCCCTGTGCACAGCGGCTCCGCAGGTCGCTGGGCGCAGTGAGCAAAAAAAAACTCTGAAGGTGGGGCAAAGTATAGCCCGAATTCGAGACGGAAGATCGGGCTGGCCAGCGCGCTGGATCCGCCCGGGAGAACTCGGCAGGCAGTTCAGGAGAAACGGGATGATCCACGCCCGGCGGAAAAAGAGCAGCTGGGACCCAAGCAACGAGGTGAGATCCCGACCGAAGTCGGCATTCGGAGAAGAGCCCGATCGAGGCAGAAGCAATTCAGAGCAGGACCGAGCCGAAGCGACAGAGCCGAAGCTGTCCCTGCGAGCGGCGTGGCGGGGGGGGTCAGGACGCCCTCGGGGGCGGGGTCTCGGGGATCCACTGCCCGTATCTGGCCGCGCCGCTGCCCCCCCGAATAGAAGCCGCGCGCCGCTCGAGCCACGGGGCGGCGGCGGCGGCTCGAGCCTGTGGTCGGAGCCTCGGCAGAGCAGGCTGGATGACCGCTGGGCCCCTGGGCGCATTGTAGAGCTCCAGCAGCCCTGGCGCTGGCAGAAGAACCCGGAGCCCCCCCCCCGGCAGGCTCAGAGCCAAGCCACGGGGACGCCACTGGGTATGCAGCAGCTTCTGTTGGGGGGGGGGGGGGGGCAGGCATGCCTTTCACCTCCTTCCTCTCCTCCTCCTCTTCCGCATTATCCGGCTCGTCGTCGACCTCCTCCTTCCCCTCCTCCGCCTCCACCTCCTCGTCCTCCTCGTCCTCCTGTTCCTCCTCCTCCCTCCTCTCCACTCCCATCCTCCTCCATATTCTCCCTCCCTTCTCCCCCTCCTCTTCCTTTTCCCCCTCCTCGACCTCCTCCTCCTCCTCCTCCTCCTCCTCCTCCTCCTCCTTCTCCTCCTCCTTCTCCTCCTCATCCTCCTCCTCCTTCCTCCTCCTCCTCCTCCTCCTCCTCCTCCTCCTCTCCTCCGCTCCTCCTCCTCCTCCTCCCCCCTCCTCTTCCCCCTCCTCTTCATCCTTCTCCGCCTGTTCCTCGTCCTCCTCCCGCCCCCCTATTCCCTCCTCCTCCTCCCCCCCCTCCCCCTCCCAAAACGCTCGACGCCGGGATTTGTTCACAACGTTGGCCCAGGATACCTGGACGATTTCCGGGGCCGGCTGTTCATCCCGACTTGTGTTTTACGGTCCCGGGGCCCCGCAAGGGCTCCCTGGGGGCTGGATTTGCGCAAAGCTTCCCGTCGTGTTTTTTGTCCCGACGCGAGGTGGGAGCAAAGAGAAGCGACGCCACCACCACCAGGGCGCGGAGCCAGGGGATGCACCCTGGTGGTGTGGCCACACTTCCCCGCTCGAGACACCCCCGACCTCCAGCATGAAGGAGCATCGCGGACCTCCACAAGGCACGGCGCCCAGCCGGGGCCGAAGACGGCGAAGAAACGTATCCGAATGGAGGCTCGAAACCTGACGATGAACCAAAAGAACATGGAATCCTGCAGCGTTTCCCGCGAGACCAATACACGGGGAAGCAGCACCAGCCTGGCCAGTGGGATCTCTTTGTCGTGCACATGTGACATGCATCTTGGGAGCCCTTCGAGAGCTTCTGGCGGCGTTTTGGGGGCTTCCGGGCGCTTCTTGGAGTTTCCTAGGGGTTTGGGGGGGCCGAAGGCTCGAAGGGTCCGTTCAGATTCCCTGTCTCGGGTCCTTCTTAGAGCCGTCTTGGGGCTATCGTGAACCGTTTTGGAAGCCTCTTGGGCTGCTTGGGTCCCTCTCGGGCTGCCTGGGGGTCATCTTGGGAGCCTCTTGGGCCGTCTTTGGGCGATTTCGGGAGCCTCCTCGGCTATCTTGGAGCGCAGGGCAGCCGCAAAGGTGAGAACCACAAAAATCCTCCCACACCTTGAAAAAACAAAAAAAGTTGAGCCTCTTGTGGTCCTCTTAAAAATCCTCTTGGAGGCCTTTTGGAGCGTCTTGGAAGTTCTTTGGGCCGTCTAGGGGCTATCTTGACTGTCTTGGGCCGATATTGTGGCGTCTCGGAGTCCTCATGGAGATCTCGGGTGCTTCCTGGGCCGTCTTGGAGGCCTCCTGGAAGCCTCCTGGGCCGCCTGGGGGCCCCTTGGAGGCGCCAGGGCGGGCGCATTAAAAAAGGGAGCCCGATGGTTTGAGGTGGGCGGGGCCCCCGGGGACCTGGTATTCATCCATATTATATACTCGAACAACGCGCGCGCTTCGCGCGCGCTTAGGTTCAGTTCCTCCGCCAATTTCGACTGAGTGTCCACCGGCGGCACCGTCCTCGGTTTACTTGCCTTGGCTTTCGCCGAAGGCAAGAGGTTCACCATTCGAGTCCTCATATTGGATCAACATCTCAATGGCGCAAGACGCATCGGACCCAAACTGGAATCCAATAGTCAGATCGGCCAGGAATCGAAGCTCCTAAGTTGGCCAGGCCTCTCAGTGGCCACTGGCGGAAGCCCATGGAAGGTCTGGCCAAGCATGGTGCTGGCATATCACTGACCACTCCCGCGAACTTGGCGCGACGCCCTTCAAGGCGACCTGATTTCATGTTTATCCGCAACGCACGGCGCGCTGCAGCAGCAGTACTATGGCTGATGGGGCAACGTCGGGCCTCCCCTCCGACGAAGTGCCAAACAGCATCCACGGCAAGGAAAATCCGCGCACCCCTTTGGGTGACTAGAGCGTGGAGTCACTTCCTTTCAAAATCCCATCGGCAGAGGACGGGCAACTCGCCTCACGCAGTGCCCAGCTATGTACCCTCGCCCGTTTGACAAGTGGCCCCGATTGACAGATTTGCTACTGGCAACAGGGAGGGTTCCAGTCTCCCCGAGTCTGGCAACAAGGAGGGTTCCAGTTTCCCCGAGACTGGCAACAAGGAGGGTTCCAGTCTCCCCGAGTGTTCATCTGACAAGAGACACAACATTGTCCAATGGGTCATCGGCGACAGCATTGACAGGACATCTTTGAGCCCAGAAAGGGAAGATCTCGGGCGAAATTGGTTGAACCACCTCAGGTGTGGGCTTCCCCGAAAACGCAATCCCGACGATGTCCCAGGAGTCCACGGCAGCTCCCAACCATCAGTCCACGGCAGCTACAAACCCAGAACCTCATTTTCCCCTTCGGGGATGGGGTCCTCACTGCTCCTGGATAAGATTTGCCGCGTCGCCCAATCCACCGACCGCTAACCCGAGTCACTGCCACCCCCCACAATTCCAACCAAAAACAAATTGACATACCCCCGAGCGGCTCCCCCATTGGAGCTCGGAAACGCGATGCGATCCGTCAGGACCATGATCATCATATTCTCATGGTTCTGTAGATCCGCCACCGTGCCTCTGGGCACGGAGTGGGCGTGCCCTCAGGTTCTTACCATCATCCTCTCAAACTCAGTGCTCATTCCCGAGGAGTCGTTCAGAAACCCAGACCCCACATCGCGATATCTTCTCCTGGGGCTTCTCGCGGATTCTCGCGTCACTGTTTCGGAGCAATGGGGGCCCCAAAACGGGCCAACAGGGCCCAGAGAGGCCCACGACAACCCCAGAACGCTCCGAGACGCCCAACAAACGCCCCAAGACGCCCTACATGGCCTCATGATGGTCCAAGAGGCCTCCAAGATGCCCGAAGAGGCCTCGAAGATGCCTCCCAAGAGGACCCTGAGAGGCAAAAATCATTGGCTGGCCTTCGTTGTTTGAAACATGTTGGCGTTCTCGACTGTTTCCCTTTCCGACGCTCCCAGAGGGCCCGAGACCCCCAATAACACCCCAGGACTGCCCAAGAGGCCTCCAAGAGGGCCCCAAGAGCCCCAAGAGGCACCGAAGAGGCCGCAAGAGGCTCCAAGAGGCCCCCAAGGGACCCAACAGCGACCCCAAGAGGCTCCAAAACTGCCCCGAAGAGGCATCAAAACTGCATCCAAGAGGCCGCAAAACTGCCCCTCAGAGCCCTCAAAAATGGTCCACCAGGAAATCCCAACGAACATCCAATTGGCTTCATACCTAAAACCTAGACACAGTGGTGGGAAGGCTATTCGATAGAGAGGAGTCCAAGGTACAACAGAGAATCATGAGTCCAGAGGGCGAGGCTCAGGCCAGGATGTCTCACCTGAACCCTTCCTGCCGTACTCGGAAAGGCACCCCGACAACAAACGAAACAAACATACGTCGCTCAATTGGGGTCGGCGGCAGAGGCGGCAGCCTTTAAATAAAAAACGACCACCTGCTCGTCCAGAGTCGAGGGCACCCAGAGGCCGAACACGACGGAAACCCTCCGTCCTGATTGTCTTCAGGATCTTGGAGGTCTGGCTCCCTCCCTCATGGCCCATGGCTCAGCAGCAAATGGGCACCATGCAGAATGCCAGCAATAAATGGGCGCGATTGCCAGCAGTGGAGAACGCGATGCAGTGCTTAGGCGGCAAGCGAGCATCATGCAAAACGCTGGCAGCACACGAATGTCTTGTAACACTCTGGCAGCAGATGGGCAGGCACGGCAAGAAAACACATGCGAAGCAGTGCGGGCCACGGCGAAAGGCAGCACAGCGGCAGCCACCATGCAGCACACCGGCAGCAATATGTTTACGTGAACGCTTGCGGGAGCACGGCCCACAATGCAGCGCCACGAGCCGCGAGATGGTGGGTCCTCCTCCTCCTCCTCCTCCTCCTCCTGCTCCTGGGCGGGGGGAGGGGACAGGGGAGCAGAACGCCAGCCGAGGCATGGGGGTCCTTCCACTGGAACTTGCAGGCGAGGTGCAGCGGCGTCGCCCCGTCCTCGTCCTCGGAGGCGAGGGAAGGGGCGGGGGCCCGCAGGGCCCGCGCCGGCACGCGGCCGCCGCCGCCCGCGGAGGACCTTCCCCGCCGTCCTCCCGCGCCTCCCCCTCCGCCTTCCCCAAGACGAGGCCAGGACAGGGGCCTCGGCGCTTCTGGAGTCCGTGCCGGGCGCCGCGGACGCGGCCTGCTCAGGACGCTGCAGAACGCCACGCTCTGGAGCGAGTCGTCCTCGTCCTGGGCCCGCCTGACCTCTCCCTCCCGCCTCCCGTCGCCTCCCCTCGGATAGTGCTTCGTGACCACCCGTCTCCTCCCCTCGGAGGGGGCCCACCTCCTCCCAGAGAGCCCCCCCCCCCGCCACTCCTGCAGGTCGAGCGACGCGCCGACCTCCACGAGCCGCGTCACGCAGCTGCTGTAGCCCATGCCAGACGCGAGGTGGAGCGCTGTGCGCCTGTGGCCGCCGCCCCCTCCTCCTCCGCCTCCGCCTCCTCCTTCTTCTCCTCCTACTCCTCCTCCTAGTCCTTATCCTCCTCCTCCTCCTCCTCCTCCTCCTCCTCCTCCTCCTCCTCCTCCTCCTCCTCCTGCCGTGAGAGCACTTCTGAGGCATAAGCAATAGTCGTTGGAATAGTAGTCGCAGTCGCAGTCGTAGCTATCGTCACCGTTAATAAGCGGCGGGTACTGCCAAGAAAAATATACCTCCGATTGGTGGGACTCCAGTCCTTCAACAAGGCCGCCTTAGCACGTACATCTTGAAAAATCCGCCGGCCCCCTTGCGGGGCCATCAGGCTGCAAGGATTAAGGTTGCTGCTCCCAGCACCAGTTCCAGTTTCCATTGTTACAGAACTGCCTTCTGCTTCCTACTGTAATTGTTTACTGTCCGCGCGAGGGGGGGGGAGCCGAACAAGGCCCTGGTTAGCGTCCCCTGAGAGGGTTCTCAGAATTTCTGGGGGGGCGTGGGACACGTAAAAATACTGCAGTTTCGTGCCCCCCAAGCCATAATCTCTTGCAAATTACAATGTATTCGCCCCCCCGAGGCCACGATCCCGTGTAAATTATACCACTTTCGCGCATTGGAGGTCACGATCCCTTGTATTTTACACCACAGTTGCGTCTCCGAGGCCACGATCCCTTGCAAATTACTCCACGTTCGCGCCCTCGAGGCCGCGATCTATCGTAATTTACACCACGTTCGCGCCCCCGAAGCCACGATCCCACGTAATTGACATCATGCTCGCGCCCCCGAGGCCACGATCCCTCGTACATCACGACGAATTCGCGCCCCTGACGCCACGATCCCTTGTAAATTACGCAGCGGGCGCGCCCCCGAGGCCACGAATCCGCCTTGCGGAGGCTGCCGAAAAGGCGCTCCCCCTCTCCAAAGTAGAAAAACTGTAATTGATTGTATTGGGAGATGTGCTCCGCTGGTATTCTCTTGCCCCCCCCCTCGTTTCTGGAAAATTCGACGGTGGGTTCCACATTCACCCCCCCCAGGCCACGATCCCTCGCAAGTTACGCCACATTTGCGCCCCCGAGGCAACGATCCCGCGTGAATTACGCCACATTCGCGCCCCCGAGGCAACGATCCCTCGTAAATTACGCCGCTGTCGCGCCCCCCAGGCCATGATCCCGTGTAAATTACGCCACATTCGCGTCCCCGAAGCCACGATCCCCCGCAAATTACACCAAATTCGAGCGCACCCCCCACGCTACGAATCCACCTCGCGGAAGCTGCCCGAAGGCGCCTCTCCCTCTCCAGAGCAGAAAAAATAACCTTCCCAGAGATTGCCTGAAGCAATCCCCAGCCGTTCCCAGAGCGCTTCCAGTGAACAATTGGAGGAAAATGCCAAGAAGGCAACAAAGCGTTCAACAACAACTTCAACATCTCAATATGTCTTGCTCATCGCCAGCCGCCCTAGCATGACGTTCCCGATGATTCCCGAATGTCATCAAGACGGCGCCCGAACATCCCAATATAGCTCTGATGTATCCCATTGTGATAAGGAGGGGGCTGGCGGCAGGGGGCGAAGCCCTTACGGATCACAAGAGCTTCACGGAATGAGGGCGGGTCCTTTCCAAAATGTGACTCTCGCCTCAGCGCGCTACATTCGTTCCAATAGTTGGCAAGATGTTCACAGATGGAGCGTGCGGGTCCTGTTCGAAACATGTCCCTCACCGTAGTGCCGCTCACACTCGTTCTACACATTGGCAGCAAGAGTTTCACGAGTTGAGGGCCCGTGGTTTTCACAAATGTGTGGCTCTGGCCTTCGCGCCGCGCACAGTCGCCCCAAAAATTGAGAAACATGTCGCGGATGGAGGGCGGCGCCTTTTCAACATGTTGCTCTCGCCTTGACACCGCGAACATTCGTTGGCAACAGGAGTTTCACAGATTGAGGGCCCGTGGTTTTCAAATGCGCGACTCCTTTTCAACATGTTGCTCTCGCCTTAGCACCGCGCACACTCATTGGCAACAGGAGTTTCACATATTCAGGGCCCGTGTTTTCAAATCCGCGGCTCCTGCCTTAGCGCCGCGCACATTCGGTCCAACGATTGAACAGATTTCACACATGGAGGGCGGATCCTGGTCAACATGTGGCTCTCGCCTTAGCGCCGCGCTCGTTCGTTTTGAAAACTGGCAACAAGAGCGTCACGGCTTGAGGCCGGTTTTTTTTCAAGCTGTGGCTCTTGTCTTATCGCCGAGCACATTCGTTTTAACAATCGACAAGAGCGTCACGTATTGAAGGCGGGTGGTTTTCAAAATGTGGCTCTTGCCTCAGCGCCGCGCACCTCCGTTGCAAAATCCGCAAGGACTTCACTAATTCCATGGTGCACGTGCTAGACATTACATGTTGGAGCGATTATTGACTGTCAGAGCGCCACCGTTACGTTAATTCGCCGTTGAAATGCTGTTATGGCACGACTCTGGATCGCCAAGACGCAACAGTCAGGATAACTCTGGGTGTTGAAGGCCTGAAGATCATGTTTTGGTACGCTTCAGGATTTTCACACGGGTGACACCCAACGGGGCAATTCCCGTGGCAATGAACACTTGTAGAGGCATATGAAGAGGGAGCTTGGAGAGGGGGTGTATTCCAACATCGTCGATGTGTCTTGGAGTTACACTGATCCTCCTTCTCCTCCTCCTGCTCCTCCTCTTCCTCTTCCTCCTGCTCCTCCTCCTCCTCCTCCCTCCTCCCTCCCTCCCTCCCCTCTACCTCCCTCCCTCCCTCCCTCCCTCCCTCCTCCCTCCTCCCTCCTCCCTCCTCTCCTCCCTCCTCCCTCCTCCCTCCCTCCTCCCTCCCTCCTCTCTCCTCCCTCCTCCCTTCCCTCCTCTTCATCCCCTCCTCCCTCCTCGCCTCCTCGCCTCCTCCCCCCTCCCCCCCTCCTCCCATCCTCCTCCTCGATCCTTGATCTTCACAAGGCTCGATCCTCGAAGGTCGAGGATCGAGGATCGATCCTCGAGGTGTGATCCTCGATCCTCGAGGTCCTGGACCTGTTGGGGCTTTCTCTGGGCCTGCAGAGGCCTCCGGATGCCTCTGGACCCCTGGAGGCCTCCGTGGACCCCGCGATCCAGCGACGATGTCCTCCTCCGAGCTGGGTGCCGATCCTGCCCCGACGCTCCATGTCGGGTGTTGCTAGAAGTGCCCCTGGCCCAAGGTGTCCCCAGCTTTCCGCTCCATTTTGGAGCCCCTGGGGTCCTCTGGGCCTCGTGAGGGGTGCCCCGGAGGCCGCCTGGGCCACCCCGAGAATCCTGGGGGTACCTTGGGCCAGGGGTACTTCTAGCCCCATTCTCGGCTACACGCAAGAGTGACCCTGGGTAAGAGTGACCTTTGGTGCGCGGCTTTTTGGGGGCCGCGGGGAGACCAAACCTGGGGCGCGAAAGTCGCTGCTACCGCTTCGTTTGCAGCCATCTGAGGGCCCATCTGTGCCCGCACCAAAGGTCACTCCGGCGAAAGGTCACTCTTACGTCTAGTCGACATTCCGCCAGCCTCCCCACGACTCCCCTCCACGCACCGGTCCAGAATGATGCTTCCCCTCCGTCTCACGCGCTCCGTCCCAAGTCGTGGCGTAGCCCTTCGGGTGAGGAGGGGAGGGGAGGGGAAGGGAGGGGAGGGGATGGGAGGGGTCCTAAGCGTCCTTCCACTCCAGGGGAGGGGAGGGGGGAGGGAGACAAGAGGGAGGGAAGAGGGAGCAAGGGGGAACGGGACTCCTGAGTGAAGAATTGGAAGCCTTGCGCTAGGACCTCCCCTGCCGCCTCATTGAGTGACGTTTCCATCAAAGTGCTCTTCTGGTTCGTATAACGTGATATGCACATGTGTCTTGGCACTATGCCTAGTTGTTTGCTTCGGCCTCGTCCTGCTGCGCTGGGCGCTGATCAAGAATGAAAAGCACATACATGGTGCGATCTCCGAACGGCACGGCAGCACGAAGGAGCGCCGAGCAATGCGAAATGGACCAAAAACTGCGAACTTTGGACGCCCGAAATGGGTACGGAAAAAGTGGGTGCGATGCCCAACAGTAAATGTTGTCCAAAACCAGCAGCGGCTGCTGTTGGGCAGGTGGCCTTCTGTCTCAAATGGACAACGACCGCGGTAACGCCGACAGCAAGCCGAGTTCAGAATGGACAGGAACTGATGTCGGTCATCGTACCCACTGTTTCCATACCCATTACGATCGTGCCGCCGAACGGAGGGGAGACGGAGCAGAGGGAACGGACCCACCCAGTGCGCCAGCGCGCCCTGGCATCCAAGATACCTCCCCCCGCCTCCAGGGATCCAGGGCCTGCCGACAGCACCGCCCCACCCTCCTCCTCCTCCCCCTCCTCCTCCCCTCCTCCTCCCTCTCTCTCCTCCTCCTCCTCCTCCTCCTCCTCCTCCTCCTCCTCCTCCTCCTCCTCCTCCTCCTCCTCCTCCTCCTCCTCCTCCTCCCCTCCTCCTCCTCCTCCTCCTCCTCCTCCTCCTCCTCCTCCTCCTCCTCCTCCTCCTCCTCTCCTCCTCCTCCTCCTCCTCCTCCTCCTCCTCCTCCTCCTCCTCTCCTCCTCCTCCTCCCCTCCTCCTCCTCCTCCTCCTCCTCCTCCTCCTCCTCCTCCTCCTCCTCCTCCTCCTCCTCCTCCTCCTCCTCCTCCTCCTCCTCCTCCTCCTCCTCCTCTCTCCTCCCGCCTCCCTCCTCCCTCCTCCGTCCTCCTGCGTCCTCCTCCCTGCTCCTTCTCCTCCTCGTCCTCGACCTCGTGCTAGTCTGGGCGATTTTGCGAGGATGTCTCGAGCGAGGGCGCCAAATCGGGACACATCTGGTGCGCCCGGCGCATCGCCGGAAATGGTTCCTGGGGGTGCGCTGGCGGCCCGTGGGGCGATTTTGCGAGGATGTCTCGAGCGAAGGCGCCAGATCGGGACACGCCCGGTGCGCCTGGCGCATCGCCGGAAATGGCTCCTGGGGATGCGCTGGGAGGCGACTTTCTCGCGCGCCGGGGGTCAGGATGACGTGAGTTCCACAGCACAGAAACTCCCTCAAATAAATATCAGCCCTGCCCAAAGCAGCCACCAGCACCGGATGCGGAGACATGCAGCGCAAAACAGCCGCGCCTGAAGACGTCGCGTGCGTTCACGAGCTTGCCCACACGTGGTGTCTGAAGCAGAAACGTAAGGGCGTCGTCTGACCTCCACTGGCTGCCGATTCTCCTGACTCAACTGCTACAGAGGCACGCGTGGGGGAGGAGGTAGGAGGGAGGTTGGAGCAAACATTGATGCTGTCAGCCTCATCCCGTGACGAGCCAGTCAGGCCCATTTGAGGCGTTCCATCGCCGCTGCTGGATACGGCACGCCAAATTGAGCTTCCAGATATGAGCACGGCGCGTCTCTAATTCGGGGCACTCTTCCCCTTGAAGGCATACGTGCGCGATGCACTGCAAATCAAGCGCCGCATGTCATGACAACGCATGGCATCTCAGTGAATCGAATAGCATGATGGAGTGCGCCATTGGGCCATAGCGTTGTACATCACTGCGCCATTTAAAATGACACTGCACCGCCTCAGATGACAAAGCATCGCATGTCATGGCCATTCGTACAATATCGTTGCAACCAATGGCATGGTACCGCGTAGCATGGCAACTTGGCATCACAGTGTGGTGGTGCAAGGTGAAGCTCAGCATTACCTAGTAGATCGCGGGATTTAAAAGCGTTATGAGGTTGCGTGTGATACTCAAGTTAATGATAATGCGCGGCGAATGTTATTGATGTACTATGCGTTGCGTGGCGCGATGAGATCGGAGCTTGGGGGGTGAGATCGCAATGAAAACGGAGACCCCCCACCGGGAAATCGGTTTCGGTTTCGTGTTCGTGTCGTGTGTGCGGGCGAGGCGAAGCTGCGCGTAATCCTCCTGTAGCTAGGACGAAGTAGGAGCGAAAGTCCGTTCCCGTCCGCCGGTGGCTGGGAGGTGTCCCAGTTGGGCCGGGCGGTGTCCTGGGTGTCCCGGGTGTCAGTATAGAGCGAAAGTCCGTTTCCCGTCCGCCGGTGGCCTGGAGGTGTCCCTGTTGGGCCTGGCGGTGTCCCGGGTGTCCGGGGCGTCCCGGCGCGAACGCATGTCGCTAATTTCATATTTCATTTTTTCGGCGCCTGCGGCGGGCTATCTTATCCAATCCAGCTTATCTTCTCCAATCCATCTTGTCCAATCCAATCCATCTCATCATATCCAATCCATATTGCCCCATCTCATCTTATCCCACCCAATCCAATCCACCCAACCCAATCCATCAATTCATTTGTTTCTGCGCCTGCGGCGGGCCAATCCAATCCATCTCATCTTATCCAATCCATTTCTTCCAATCCCAACCCATCTTATCTTATCCAATCCATCTTATCCCATCCAATCCAACCCACCCAACCCAATCCATCAATTCATTTTTGTCGGCGCCTGCGGCGGGCTTTCTTATCCAATGTCATCGTCATCGCGATCATCATCGTGGTGGAGGGGGACTCTGATCGAGAGGGAAAGAGGGAGAGAGAGAGAGAGGGCGAGAGAGAGAGAGACAGGAAGAGAGAGAGAGAGAGACAAAGAGAAAGAGAGAGATGAGATCAAGGTGACAGGCTGGAGGTCAGTCAGGGTGGGCATTTGATCTAAATCCCCCCCCCAAACCTCCTTATCGCCCGCAGGGCGGTCGTCGGAGGTTGGGGGGTGAGATCGCAGTGAAACGGAGACCCCCCACCGGGAAATCGGTTTCGGTTTCGTGTTCGTGACGTGCGTGCGGGCGAGGCGAAGCTGCGCGTGATCCTCCTGTAGCTAGGCCGAAGTAGGAGCGAAAGTCCGTCACCGTCCGCCAGTGGCTGGGAGGTGTCCCAGTTGGGCCGGACGGTGTCCTGGTTGTCCCGGGTGTCAGTAGGAACGAAAATCCGATTCCCGTCCGCCGGTGGCGGGGAGGTGTCCCAGTTGGGCCGGGCGGTGTCCCGGGCGTCCGGGGCGTCCCGGCGCGAACGCATGTGCATCCATCTTATCCCATCCAATCCAATCCACCCAACCCAATCCATCAATTCATTTTTGTCGGCGCCTGCGGCGGGCTTTCTTATCCAATCCAGCTTATCTCATCCAATCCATCTTGTCCAATCCAATACATCTTATCTTATCCAACCCATATTGCCATCTCATCTTATCCCACCCAATCCAATCCACCCAACCCAATCCATCAATTCATTTGTTTCTGCGCCTGCGGCAGGAGGTGTCCCAGTTAGGCCGGGCGGTGTCCCGGGTGTCCTGGGTGTCTGTCCGGGGCGTCCCGGCGCTAACGCATGTCGCTAATTTCATATTTCATTTTTTCGGCGCATGCGGCGGGCTTTCTTTCCAATCCAGCTTATCTTCTCCAATCCATCTTGTCCAATCCAATCCATCTGATTTATCAAATCCATCTTGTCCCATCGTATCTTAACCCACCCAATCCAATCCACCTAACCCAATCCATGACTTCATGTGTTTCTGCGCCTGCGGCGGGCCAATCCAATACATCTTATCTTATACAATCCATTTCTTCCAATCAAACCCATCTTATCTTATCAAATCCATCTTATCCCATCCAATCCAATCCACCCAACCCAATCCATCAATTCATTTTTGTCGGCGCCTGCGGCGGGCTTTCTTATCCAATCCCGCTTATCTTAGCAAATCCATCTTGTCCAATCCAATCCAGTCTACTTTATCCAACCCATCTTGTCCCATCCTATCTTGTCCCACTCAATCCAATCCATCCAACCCGATCCATCCAACCCATCTAGAAAGAGAGAGAGAGAGAGACAGAGAGAAAGAGAGAGATGAGATCAAGGTGGCAGGCTGGAGGTCAGTCAGGGTGGGCATTTGATCTCAATCCCCCCCAACCTTCTTATCGCCCGCAGGGCGGTCGTCTAGGTATGAGAATGCTGGTGACAATGATGTGTTACTTGTTGGGCTGCTGGTATCGGAGGTTAGGGGGTGAGTCCGACGTGAAACGGAGACCCCCCCTACCGGGAAATCGATTTCGGTTTCGGGTTCGTGTCGTGCGTGCCGTGCGTGCGTGCGGGCGAGGCGAAGCTGCGTGGGCGGGCGAGAGGAAATCTGCCTGTGGCTGGGCCGCGGCCGGACCAAATGTAACTCCTCCGGCGGCCGGTGCCCCGCGGTGTCCCGCCGGTGTCCCGCGGGTGTCCCGAAATCCTGATGTGGCTGGGCCGCGGCTGGACCAAATGTAACTCCTCCGGCGGCCGGTGCCCCGCGGTGTCCCGCTGGTGTCCCGCGGGTGTCCCGTCGTGTCCCGTGGTGTCCCGTGGTGTCCCGTTGAGTGAGATCGATAGTGAGATCGAAAGTGAGATCGATACTGAGACCGATGTGGTGCCCCGAAGTGTCCCGTGATGTCCCGTGGTGTCCCGTTGAGTGAGATCGATAGTGAGATCGAAAGTGAGATCGACAGGTGTCCCGTGGTGTCCCGTGGTGTCCCGTTAAGTGAGATCGATAATGAGATCGATACTGAGATCGATGTGGTGCCCCGAAGTGCCGCGTGGTGTCCCGTGCTGTCCCGCTGAGTGAGATCGATAGTGACACCGATAGTGAGATCGACAGGTGTCCCGTGGTGTCCCGTTGATTGAGATCGATAGTGAGATCGATCGTGAGATCGATAGTAAGATCGATGTGGTGTTCCGAGGTGTCCCGTGGTGTCCCGTCGTGGCCCGTGGTGTCCAGAGGTGTCCCGTTGAGTGAGATCGATAGTGAGATCGAGAATAAGATCGACAAGTGTCCCGTGGTGGCCCGTGGTGTCCCGTGGTGTCCCGTTGAGTGAGATCGATAGTGAGATCGATTGAGTCACATGTTGGTTCCCCCCCCCTCTCCCCCTCCCCACAACCTCCTTATCACCCGAAGGGTGCTCGTATAGGTATGAATACCACTGACTGGCTAGTGCTAAGATGGCGTCGTGCTAACGCTGTGTTCATGCGAGCTACTGACACGCTAACTGCGTGCTATTATGTCCAACATCTGCAGAACTAGGCTGCGCTGGGCTATGCCGTGTTGCTGCAGTGCTGCACTGTGCTGTGTGCTGAAGTTGCGCGAAGAGCCATAATCGGGGCCACAAGGAACTGCCCTGATCACAGAACCGTACAACGGCTCTAAGTTTTTTTTGTTGGAGAAGGGGGAGGAAGAGGCGAAAGGGAGACCGCGCCAACGAGTGACCACCACGAGGAGCTGGCAAGCCATACTGCCACAGGACCGTTATCGCCCTGACTCCCATTCGCAAGCATGCCACTAACACCGAAAACAAAAACGTGGAGTCGGCAGGTAAACCTGCCGCAGGACAACGGCTCCCAGTGTGAAAGCCAATCGGGACATACTGGAAAGGACTGGGAAGGCGGGGAAATGAGGAAGAGGAGGAGAGGAATTACTAGGCGGAGGATGAGGTAAGAGGAGGTTGAGAAGGACAGGCAGAACTGACCTTCTTGTGAGCGGACAACGCAGGCACTAGCGAGAAGCGAGGTGGAGGTGGAGGAGGGCAGAGGACAGGGATGGGGGAGAAGGAAGCTGCGTCGAGGAAGAAAGTGTGAAGGTAAAAGGGATAATGAGGAGGAGGAGGAGGATGGGAAGAAGGTGAGATGGTGGAGTAAGGAAAGTGAAAAAGGGGGTTGTAAGGGAAGGGGTGAGTGAGGAAGGATAGAGGGAGAAGGGAGAAGGGAGGAATGAGAGAGCAGGGAGGAGGACAGGGAGAAGGGGAGAAGGACAGGGATGACGGAGGATGGTGGTGCAAGGGGAAGGCGGTTTGGAGATGCATTGAACTGGTCGCGCAAACGCGTTCGCTCGGTCCTCGCTCGTCCTCCAGCTCATCCAAGAACCCCCAGGTCATTAGTACCATGCTCATTGTTTGTTTGCGCTGATGCTGCATACCGAAACCTGATCGGACAAGTACTGGAAGCGCTGGTTTATCCATGTGGCTCGGGGGGGAGAAATGGACAGAAGGATGATGGCGACGACAATGCGGCGGATGAAAAGGACGACAGCGTGGAGGACGGGGGGGGGGCAGCTAGCGGAGCAGGACGACAACGAGTACGAAAAAACACACAAGAGTGAGGAGGAGATGTAGAAATGAAGCGGATGAGGAGGAGGAGGAGGACGACGAAGAACGGCAAGGAGCACGAGGGAAAGGACACGGAAAAA